TAAGCTCTGGCCAAAATCGACCGGCACGGCAAGCGGTGGTGCGCATGAACACACAATCCCTACCCCAAGACCCACCAACACGCGTGCAGCAACAAAACCACAGGGTGGCTCGTAACCTTACACCCTGCGATAGCCAATATTTGCAGGACCCTCGCCAAGCGAAGCCGGAGCTATATATGTCCTACCATCTACGCCTGCCTCCCTCTCATAGCATCTCCTTTTCTCTTTTTCAACGATGACGTTGGAATTGTGCGTGTAAATAGGCCCCCGATCCCGGCCCCACCCTTGCCTGTCCTGCGGCCGCGCAGACGACGCCACGAAAGCCTCCTCAGGGATCGGGGGTTTCCAAAACATCCGGTGGAAGTCGTCGCAGGGGCCTCCCCTCAAGGGATGCCACCTGTCTCACCAGCGACCAAACAACACACACACGACCAGAGGGGGGGCGTGATCAAGCTGCTGGTGGATGGTGTGAGCAATGCAGATGGGGCCAGGAGGAGGAAGCGAAGGTGGCACAGCCCTCCCGGTAAAACCGGCAACACCAAGCAGGGTTCCTTTCGCTTCCGTGGCCCGAGATAGTGCCACGGTCAATTCAGAATATCACGTTTTAATATTGAAGGACCATTTGGAAAATATCCTACAATGGCCCATATATTCCCAAACAGAGAGGTATGTAGCACGGGCCTCCAGTTTGGGCTCAGGTGCACAGCGACAACAAAAACGCGTGCAGACACACGACACATGCCGTAAGTTTCTTAAGATATCATACCCCTTGAACCGGTATTCAAAGCTAGACTACTCTGCAGCAAACAGCAGCCATGGTACCGAGAATGGCTGCAATGGAATGCGCCTCGTCGAAAGCTTGATAAAAATGCATCATTTAGCGCTGGCGTCCTGTTCGTCGTGGAGTATTCCAGCTTTGAAAAACGGTACCCAAGGGGCTATGGTATCTTGCGTCATGCACCCCACGGTACATACCTGCCGGGCATCTCCGAGAGCGCAACCGCGAGCGCCTTAGTCTGCAGCGCGAGGGAATCGAGCCGATTCCCCAGTGCCCGGCCGTGCCCGGCCCTCACCACAGCCCCCTCAACCTCCACGAGAAACCCCGCCGGCCTCGTCACGAGCGGCAGCAGCCACGGCTCCAACGCTCTCGTCGTCCCCACCACGGCTCCTCGGTTGTTCCTCCCGCCGCCAGGCGGGTCGCCGCTTCCGACGGACTGACCCCCCGCGCCGGCGGAGCTTTGGGTAGCACTACTTGCATTCACAGCAGCGGTGCGACCGCCGTCGCCCACGGGGCTTCTCCGCGTAGAGGAACGAGCACCGGCCGCGGTACCGGCGGTCCATTCACGGGACCAGCTGTCACCGCCACCGGCATCGCCCACACCCGCCCCGTCACCGCCGCCGCCCTCCGCAGCCCCGCCGCCGCTTGGCCGGGGCGTCTGATTCGTGCAGCCGCCCTCTCCCGCCGACGTAGCAGCGGCAGCGGCAGCACCACCGGCGGCGGCGGCGGCAGCGGCGGCTACGGCCATCGCGCGAGCCTTGAGCTCGTGGAAGCAAGCCCCGACGATCCGCCGCTCGGACGGCTCCGTGGGAAGGTAGAAGGACGGGACCTCGTGCTTGGTTGCTCCTTCCTCCCCTCGCAAGCCGGACGCCGTGGCTGCTGCGGGACCGGCACCGCCGGGAGCTCCCCCGGTGTCATCCCGCGATGTTTCTCCGGAGGGACCACGGGGTGCGGTGGCGGGGGAGATGCACGTGTCTCCGAGGGTCCGAGAGATGCTGAAGGTCGAGATGGACGCCAAGCAGTCGCCGTCGAGGTCGACCGCGGTACGCAGGAACCTTGATCGGCGTAGCAAAGGGGGACAGGGTGTGGAGACTTAAAAACACATCCCAAGCGAACGTGGTGTTGTCTCGAACGGTGGACTCTCTGTGATTGTACGTACTGTATATTCTCAAAAAAAGAGACAAGGTGCGAAGATTAAGATTTCAACACATTCCCCTCGAATGCGGTAATGTCTCGAACGGGTAGGTCATTTTGTGATCGTATGTAAGTTTCTAAAATAAACAGGGTGCGACATTTGAGTGCCCGGGGCAGTGCGGAGTGCCTTGTCCTCGCGGACATGCCGTTGCTCTAGCCTAGTGAAAAACATGTCGACCCCCACCACTAGGCCAGGCCGACATCCTACTGTACCATCTGAGTTTCTTCTCACACTCGAGAGCCGCAAACCCTTGACCTTAACCGCTACGGCAGCCGAGAGAGACCCTTCCGGACGACAACGAGTCTTGTGCTTTCAGGAAAATCAACAACGATATACTGTACTCGTGGGACCGCTGAGCGCCATATTTCGTGCCAATCGGCGAGAGAAGCCATCGCAGGTGGTACAAGATGCCACATCCCCTGGACTAATACTTAAGGCTCAACTTCGTACGCCACAAAAAATGGTATGCCTACTACTACTACTACTACTACTTGGTTTTGCGATAGCGTTCGATTTTATGTAGTAGGCAAGCTCGACGAGATCGTTCCAACGCCGCTGTTTTCGGAGCCGTCGCCTGTTGTAGCTGCAGAGCAATCAAGCCCTGACAAATAGGTCCCGGGGTGCGCCGTATCTTACGCTCAAACCAACGGTATGCACGCGATATAAAGCGCACGAGGGCCAGCGAGTTGGCTACGGGCAAGCGCGCATCTACCGTCAAGCGAGGCTCACTTGAAGTGCTCCCCCACAGACTCGCTGAGGAACTCATCGACGCCGACGCTCATCCGCACGCCGTATTCCTCCGCGTCCGGGAAGATTGTTCCGGGAGCCTTCCTCTTGGCTGCTGCTGCTGCGGCCGGGGCGGCAGAGGGTGATGCCGTGGCGTGCTCGTGAGCCGCAGGCGATTGGGGTTGGACCGGCCACCGCGCCTTAAGCGAAACGTCGCGGGCGTGTAACCTGGAGTGGCGTGTTGATGGGGCGAGAATCGGTGGGGGTCGGGGAAAGGAGGTACTTTTTGTTCGCTTGAAAAGAACAGGGTTTGTTGATAGCCCAATGTTTGAAATAAGAAACACAACGCATGTCCTGATTTAGGCGAAGTTGAAGGGTATCGCCAAGACGTTGAGCGGACATCATCTCCAAGTGTCTACTTTTCAGCGTAGGCCGGCCCTTTCATGGCCACGTGTCTACGGTCAGCGTGCTTTTTCGGGCGAATTCAACATCGACCCTACCCCCACCTTGATGGCAGTCGTACCCACTCGAACTCGAACATACAATACACCTTGAAAAGACGTTGGTACAGCTCCCTCTCTCTCTCTCTCTCTCGCTCTCTCTCTCTCTCTCGCTCTCTCTCTATCTCCCTCTCCTCCCTCTCTCTCTCAGGAACTCTGGGGAAGTAATCGCTTTCCGTGCAGCTCTCGCCAAACGGCCTCGCCGATATCGATTTCCACAATTACAGCGAGTACTGCCAAAAGCAGCACCGCTATTCAACTCCACACGCACCACACGACGTACGAGGAAATTCAAACATCCAAGATCGCGACTGCGAGATATCTACGAACTTTCATCCTGGACTCTTTTTCGGCGGGGATAGGCAGACATGGAACTTGTTCCATGCTTCCAACAAAACAACGGCAACAAACATTCCCCAAGAACATCACTGAAAAATAACACCACGCCGACAACAACGCCTGCGCAGGGCGTCTCCAGCAGCAATAAAGCAACAATACCAAGAAAATAACTCAAACAACACCAACAACACCAACACCGACACCAAACACCCCCAAAAAGAACACCTGTGCAGGGTGTCCCCAGCAGGACCCGATGGACCCCCCGCCACCCACGCCCGCACCCAGTACTCCAGCGCCGCAGGGTCGTCCCAGGGCGGACACCGGTCCCCGCCCAAGACGGACGAGGCGTCGCCGCCGCTTCCCCCGCGGGACAGAGAAAGGTGGGCGAGCCACGCCCTGCGGAGATGGAGCATGGCCTTCCAGATGCTCAGGGTCACCTCGCGGACGGGCTGGAGTCCCCCAAGGAAGGGGCGGAAGGAGGGACGGGCGGATGAGTATCAGTGGCATATCCTGGCAAACGGCAAACAGTACTTCTGCCTTGTCCCCCCTACGCAAAAGACCACGTACAGGCCGTTTGAAAATGTACGGGCCATTCGGAAGCAAAAGTGAACAAAAGTGAAATATCCCAACGGTTCCTATATTTCCAAACATGGCGCCATGCGGTACGAGGTAGGCCAGAGGTGGGGGGGGTGAGCGGGAGAACGCGATTTCTTTCCCGAAGCAGGCAGCGAACGAGTCACGTGGGAAGCCGTGACGTGACGAACAACAACGGCATGAATAGGTCATGATACAACCCCTTCAAATATCCATCGCTAATCTTTCCGAACGCTTATCTAGTGTGGATACAGGTTTTTATTGTTTAATGTATATATGCATATGAAAAACAAGTACGCGGGGGAAGAGAGCTAAGCGCACTTGCACCGCTCGAGGCAGACGCATACGGCGAACAGGGCGCAAAAATCGTCTTCTTGGCTTGGGCCAGCCGAACCCTACTGCGGGCACCGGCGCGGGTAACTACAGTACCTTGATGATCTTGAGGTGGGTGGCGGGCGTCCAGTGGCCGTCCACTCCCTCGGCCAGAATGTCGACGACACGCGAGGCCGGCCGGCCGGCCGGCCGCCTGTCTGCCGAGAACATCTGCAGCACGGCGAACTTTGACACCCGCAAGAACCTGACGAATTTGTTATTCGCGTGCGGGGCGCAAGACAAACGCCGGCCGACCAACGCCGGCATCGGCAGGGAGGGAGCAAGGGGGATGCATGACGCTAAGAGAGGGAGGGAAGGGGGGGGGGGGGGGGGGTGTACTCATAGTCGTGCATGCCGTAGTCGTTTGACCATTGACCTCGCATCCCTACAAAGCCGGGACGGAGCACGCCGGGTTCTCACCGGACCAGGCTCTCACATCACCAAGCGCGAAGCGCCGTGAGGTATTTGGCGATTCGCATGAAGGGTGAGCTGCATCCTGCTAAGGGTGTTCGGCATCTTGTGCTTACTTCCTTGCGTACGGATGACAGCTACGTATGACTTAATTTATTTTCTGGTGCTTTCACTTCCAGAGACAGTTGTAAGCACTGTGTAACTGCCTCGAGGAAGCTTGACCATTTTAACACAACGTGGTGCGATCATCCCCCGTTGCGCGGAGTGAGGTTTCTCGACCCCGCACAACATGATCTACTCGACCACCATTATGATTACCGCCAAAAAAAAAACGAGGTAAAAAAAAACAACGGTAACCCGGTTGCCGAGTTCACGAAGTGAATTGGCTTGTTTTACAACGTCGTTGCCAAGCGACGAAAACCCAATCCCGATGGCAAACACCGAGTGGGGGGCTTGTTTTACAACGTCGTTGCCAAGCGACGAAAACCCAAACCCCGATGGCAAACACCGGGGGGGGCGGCTTGTTTTACAACGTCGTTGCCAAGCGACGAAAACCCAACCCCGATGGCAAACACCGGGGGGGGGGGGAGGGAAGGGGGGGGGGGAAAAAAAA